CCACCCCCTCCCTCCACCCAGTCACCTAAATCTCCTTCACTCAAACACCCTTTCCCTACCCACAACCCATCACCCATTTTTTCACTCTTCGGCGCGAACACTCAATTCCCCAGCTCTTCCCTAACACTCTTCTCCAAACAATAAAGAAGGCAGACGATCTGGTCAGTGGCAAACACCTATATTTATTTCTACCTTAAGTCTAAGAACATCAAAACATTCTGAGTGTAAATAAAACTTTAAAGAGTCACTTCATGCGCTAACACAGAGACGTTGTCACTAACCTCAAACTCCTAGCCTCCTTTGAGGTTTGGAAGCTTCCTAACCTCAAAGGAGACGTGACTATGTTTGGGGGGGGGGGTTTGGGGGATGGCGTCTTTAAGAAGCCAAGGTCGACAGATCAGGTCGTCCAGTTCAATTGCCAAAATTGTCAGTGACTGCTATCTGGTTAGCGTGGCAGGAGTCAGAAGGGAGGAGAGGAAACAGGATGATGGACGAATGGAAAAGCGTGAAATAGGTGAGGTTATAGAGTGGACGGTGTTTGAAACAAAATGTTCGGATCAACAGAGATTGAGGAGACGTCGGTGTCAACTGAGAGGAACTATACGCTCGGATCAATACCAAAGGAGGAAACTCGGATTAACAGAGAGAGACGTTCGGGTTAACAGAGAGGGAAACGTTCAGATCAACAGAGATGGTGTCTATCGGACCAACTGAGTAGGAGACGTGAGAGACAAGTGGAGCCTTTATATAACCTTTTTGAATTCTGAACAAATCCTCGTTATCCCACTTCTTGCCGTGATTCTTTGCTCCCTTGATCCAAAAAAGGATCACTGCAAGTGGAAGACAAGTCTTCTACTGTGGAGGAAAACAGTGGACGACAAGTCTTCCACTGTTTTCCTCTTTTTATTCTGCCATTGCCTTAACAAAAAGTACATAATCAAAGACCAATACATAAAGATCACTTGCCACAGTGGCATGTCATGTTCGATGCTCTCAATGGTCAAGTCATTGTGTGTGTATACTAGGTCTAGCCACCCTGTCTATTCTAACCTTCTCAGTGTTTCTTCCTTAACGTGTTGAATTAGGTATATAGATTATTTCTCATACTTTTATCAGCAACACTCTCAAACTCTCCACACTTTCCACAACTTAAATCATTTGATTCCCAGTCAGTATTTCAATAATTAAAGCTTCTCATTAATATTATCTTTAGTCAGTTTAACAGATGTTTTGGTAACAGCTTGGATGATATAGATTCAATCTACGTTTGCATTTTCGTATTCTTATCTGGGTCTTACAAGATTCACTGGGAGATTCTGTATCATAGCTAGGACAACATCGCCTTCTTCCACTGAAATGATTCCTGGCATTTTCCTCAACACTGATCTTACTCCTATTGTAATCTGGTATGGTCATAAAAATTTTGCGCTACAGACCATTCTATTCTTTTAGTTTAAATTGTTGCTATTATACCGGTCTTCTCTTTTTAATTTATTTGCTTTGACATGTCGTCAGCATTAGTGTACCAGATTTTTAGCCTGTTAAGTCTTACTCTGCTCTCTATACAGGCTAAACGAGTGGGAGGGGGAGAAACCTGTAATAAATGAAGAAGAAATAATGTTATATCAGGTTGTTGTTAATTAAACCAATACTCCTCTCCTTCCCAGAAGCGGTTACGATGCATAACGGTGAGCAACGCTTGAGTTGAGTATTGTTACAGCTCAACCGAAACTCACAGGAAGTTAGACAATTATACTCCGTGAATTAAGCCCCATCAAGGATTTCCTTTGACAATGGATATAGAATACAAGCGAAGGAGATTATGTAGTATCCCAGTTACAATATACTGGCACTTCATTGCAAGAAACTGCTAACTACATACCGTAATAAATAGAGAGAAGAATAATGTTATTTAACACATAAATATCCCTTTTTAAACCCTAATACATTTAGATATGCTTAAGGCCAGAAAAAAAGATCTAAATTAACACTAATTATAACTTAACCAGAGAGAGACGGCTTATTCTATTTACCGGAAAGACAAGCGCATTAATAATAGCTGCATTAAATCTAACATAGGAATTATGCACAAATCATTTATTTCAATTTTAAACCTGAACACAAGTCAAATAAACCAAGTAGCACCTGAATTAGCAACAAAAAAATCACCACAGCACCTGAACTAGCATCAAGAACGCATCTACAGTTCTAAAACTAGCAAAAAAGAACGTATTAAGAGAACCAAAAAACAAGCAAAAAAACGTCACCACAGCACCCGAACTAGCAACAAGAACGTCACCAGAGCACTAGAACTAGGGCATAGAGCAATAGGGTCAATGAAATATTCAAGTTACGTGGTTCAGTTAATTCGCTAAACCACAAACTACAGGATCAGTTAATTTGTAAGACGATCAGATAATTCGTTTAGACATGAGCTACAGGATCAGGTAATTCGTGAACAGTTAAGTGAAGTTTTTAGTTGTAAAACTCAGATTTAATTTTCGGGGTAAAAAAAAGATTCCAAGATGTTGAGATCTTGATCATATATTTATAATTTTCACACCCTATACGCAATGAATTATATCCAATCATCCATTTTCCTTTGTGCTGTAGTGTGTAATTTTGTTCACCTGGGCGTTGTAAAATCCTTGAAATAATAAGGTTATTCGTTGCCATCAAGGCTGGAGCTTCACCTGGCCTGCTGATGACCTTGTAAACACGGAGAAAAATGTCTCTCATCAGCGCTCAGCGTCCACACTGTGCGAGAACGTTGGGTCTGTGAGACACTCTGTACTCGTGACGAAGTGCTGCTATTTGTTATCTAAGACTAGCTGCCTTGTTGTTGAGGTTTCTTTGTGTGTGTGTGTGTGTGCATGTGTCTTTGTTTCTTTGTTATTTAATTTCTTGTTCATACTGGTTTGCTTGATTGAACCTGATCTATTTATATTTTGTCTCATTTATTTATTTATTTGTACTTTTCATTGTCATTATTTTAGGTTTTATCTTTGTGTGTGTGTGTGTCTCTTTCTTTGGGTATGTTTAACTAAGTATTCTTAACACTTTCTCGCTAGATCTGTTTTTGAATATTCCTGTATCCCTCTGTCTCTCTCCGTATATATCTGTTTAATTCTGAATTTATGTATGTATGTTTCCGTCTGACACATTTTTTCTTTCTCTGTATGTCCCTACATCTGTCTATCGTTATTTTTTTGTCTTATTGTATTTGTATCTGTATATATGGCTCAATTTGTGTCTTTGTTATCTCCATATGTCTTTGTATCTCTATTTTCCTGTTTCCGTTGGTCTGTGTGTGTGTGTGTCTATTCCTGCCAGTCTGTCTCTGTCTGGATTCTCGGATTAAGATAATTAATCTTAGTCTCGGATTAAGACATACAATCTGTATGTCTTAATCCCTCTTTATGTATATATCTGTTTTAATCTGTGTATATGTTTGTTTCTGTCATTCTGGTTATATATTTTTAATGTGTATAAATGAGTTCACTGTTTATGAAATCGAGTAGACAGAGTCTCCTCCAAGATTTACGCAACGTTAAAAGGATCAATCTATCAACACGCTTGGCATTACTTCCACAGTCTGCTATATCTTTTCGAGAGTCCTGTCGGTAAGCTAGGCACTCCTCCGCCAGCCTTCAGCGTCTTTGTACGAGCTCTGTCTGTAGGCCAGGCACTCCTCCGCCAGCCTTCAGGCTCTTTTGAAGAGTCATTTAGTCTGGCACTCCTTCGCCAACTCTGGGTCTCTTTCTTGTCCTTTACTCTCAATTCTGCGGAGTTCTCTACCCCAACTAGGTCCCAGAAATGTTGTTAAATGTCCAATTATCACTTCAAAGGACCTCTCGATCCGTGCCACGGCCACGGGAAAGACTAGCGGTGGTTATAGAGAGCGCTAGCGAGAGAAAGGGGAAGGGAGGGAGGGAGGGAGAGAGAGAGAGACAGAGAGAGAGAGAGAGAGAGAGAGAGAGAGAGAGAGAGAGAGAGAGAGAGAGAGAGAGAGAGAGAGAGAGAGAGAGAGAGAGAGAGAGAGAGAGAGAGAGAGAGAGAGAGAGAGAGAGAGAGAGAGAGAGAGAGAGAGAGAGAGAGAGAGAGAGAGAGAGAGAGAGAGAGAGAGAGAGAGAGAGAGAGAGAGAGAGAGAGAGAGAGAGAGAGAGAGAGAGAGAGAGAGAGAGAGAGAGAGAGAGAGAGAGAGAGAGAGAGAGAGAGAGAGAGAGAGAGAGAGAGAGAGAAACGTTGTGTTCGATGGGACGCAAAGCCTCAATGAAGAAGAGAAATAGCACCTAGGGAAGCCGATGAGGCTTTCACGTGGTTTTATAATTTTTTTAGTTCTCGTACCACTCTTTTATTTTATGTATATTTTATTTTATTTTAACGTTTTTACACATGATTGGCTGCAAAATTGGCTACATAGAATGTATAAAGTGAGTTATCACAGGCTGTCGAGTTCCTACAGTCTGTCGGATAACTGGCAAGAACCAGGCATGCAGTGTGCGTTTTCTCTCAGTATTGTCATGCTGAGGCGCTGGAAAAGAAAGCAAACAGCTTTTTGGGACTCTTATGGTTTCAGGGAGCATAATCCCAGATCACTGGGTAAACTATTGGCCCTTTTACCCCCCCCCCCCGCACACCTCTTCAGCAAAAGGTCTCGGAAATAATGGGGACAAAATTGCATTGATAATCCAAGTTTAAGTACTTAGGTCACTTGATTGATGGCAGCATCACCTGGGTGTCAATACAAAAATCAACGTAGGTCTTTGTCTTCATTGATATGTATGTGTAGTCCCCACACTAAGGGCCTGCTTATTCACGCACGGGTGAACTGTGATCCCATCTGGGCAAACAACAAAATTAGCAATATTGCGGAACATTGGGAAACGGGGCTCTATCTGCTGAACACTAAGCTGTGATAAGTCTTCTCTTAAAGATGTTAACTTTACTTTGCCTCGATTACCAGTCCCGTGTGCTTCGGCAGAACAGGCCTCGCTAACAGTACCCGTCAGCCTCTATTTCGCCACAAATGCACAAGTAATAGAAGAGGATTGAGGCAGCAAGACGAAGAGCCACTGGAATTCGGAGGGCATGTGGTAACGAGAGTGTTGTTAATAGGAAGTCACCCACTGAGAGCCGGCACTGCTGTGAGGCGAGCGATCGCATGTGGTGTTGCTGCAGCATCCAGACTCATTGCATCTGCTCTGGTTACGTGGGACTGTCCAAGCTAGACTGCTCGCGGGCGTAAAATGGAGGAAATTAGAGTACTGCGACGGCGAAAAAAAAAACATTTACTGGTGCTGTGTGTATATCTGGGCTCATGTACCACTAGAGCAGCCTCGATAGGCAGCTTATATAATCCGTTAGGATTTCGTTCGATAGGTTATCTGGTGTTTAGGACAGGAAGGCTGCCACAGCGATCTGGGAAGCTGTGGGAACACCGACACCCTCAACTTTGACGGGAATAGTAGCTTATTTCCACTAAAGGACATTGAGGTAATGATCAAGATTTTTTCTAACATGGATTTCAGTAACCGGTCGTGTGCATCTTGCATGGGGGCTATCGCGAACTGAGTAACATCTCAGAATGTAAGTTAACCTGAGTAGGGACAGCCTAGTGGATAAGGCAAAGTGTGTCATGAGCATCAGTGTCTTCACTCCTCTCACCCCTCCTGTAAATTCACAAACATGTAGGGAAAGAGACAGAGTCAAAGTGAGAGATAAAGTGAGAAAGAAAGAGATGGAAACACACAACCAATTAAAAACTACATCAGAGTTACAACACTGAATCAGCACTAAGCAACCCAATTACACTTTTAAAAAGTCCCTGCTTACTTCATCACGGTAAAGCTGGAACGTCCAACTCTCTAGCTGTTTACCATTTTAGATTGCCTTCGTGGGCCAATAGTGTATTGGAAAAGTCATCAGGGTAGCGAACCATATCCGTTTTGTCCCCACACTTCTGCTGCTGCGAGTTTATTGCCACTCTTTAGCTGAATGGGGTTATGGAAGTTAAGATCAAGATGTCACTGGGAGATTTGAAATGGTGTCATTGGATATTTGGAGTGGATGGTCATGTCACTGAGATGGTTCGAGGGGCAGCTTATCTGACTGGTGTTGGGAAAGTCCGTCGTTCATGTTGTTAGTGAGACATTTGACTGCTAGTAACGTGTTATATTGACTTTTAAAAGTTGGAAATAAAGTTTTATAGCAAGTAGTGAGAATACGTATTTGACAATTAAAACTGTGTGTGTGTGTGTGAGAGAGAGAGAGAGAGAGAGAGAGAGAGAGAGAGAGAGAGAGAGAGAGAGAGAGAGAGAGAGAGAGAGAGAGAGAGAGTGTGTGTGTGTGTGTGTGTGTGTACTCACCTAGTTGTGGTTGCGGGGGTTGAGCTTTGGCTCTTTGGTTCTGCCTCTCAACCGTCAATCAACTGATGTACAGATTCCTGACCCTACTGGGCTCTATCATAACTACATTTGGAACTGTGTATGGAGTCAGCCTCCACCACATCGCTTCCTAATGCATTCCATTTATTAACTACTCTGACACTGAAAAAGTTCTTTCTAATGTCTCTGTGGCTCATTTGGGTACTCAGCTTCCACCTGTGTCCCCTTGTGCGTGTACCACCCGTGTTAAATAATCCATCCTTGTCTACCCTGTCAATTCCCCTGAGAATTTTGTATGTGGTGAGCATGTCTCCCCTAGCTCTTCTGTCTTCCAGCGACGTAAGGTGCAGTTCACCTAGTCTGTTCTCATAACTCATGTCCCTTATTTCTGGGACTAGCCTAGTGGCATACCTCTGAACTTTTTCGAGTTTCGTCTTGTACTTGACTAGATACGGGCTCATGCTGGGGCTGCATACTCTAGGATTGGCTTTACATATGTGGTATACAAGGTTCTGAAGGATTTCTTACACAGGTTTCTGAAAGCAGTTCTGATGTTAGCCAGCCTCACAGAGGCCGCTGATGTTATTCTTTTGATGTGGGCTTCAGGAGGCAAGTTTGGCGTGATATCAACTCCTAGAGCCTTCTCTCTGTCCGTTTCGTGAAGGACTTCATCTCCCATTCGGTATTCAGTGTTGACCTCCTAGTTCCTCCTCCTAGTTTCATTACCTTACATTTACTTGGGTTGAACTTTACTAGCCATTTGTCGGACCATTCCTACAGTTTATCTAGGTCATCTTGTAGCCCCATACTATCCTCCTCTGTCTTGATTCTCCTCATAATTTTTACATCAACTGCAATCATCGAGAGGAGCGAGTCAATTCCTTCTGGGAGATCATTTACGTATATCAGAAACAGTATAGGTCCAAGGAATAATCCCTGTGGGACTCCACTGGTGACTCCCCGTCACTCCGAGACCTCCCCTCTCACGGTGACTCGCTGTGTCCTCCTGCTTAGGTACTCCCTTATCCAGTGGAGTACCTTCCCTTTCACTCCTGCCTCCATCTCCAATTTGTGCACTAGTCTCTTATGTGGTACTGTGTCAAAAGCTTTCTGGCAGTCCAGAAATATGTAGTATTCCCAGCCCTCTCTCTCTCGCCTGACTTTTGTTACCTGGTCATAAAACTCAATTCAACCTGTTAGGCCGGATTTGCCATCTCTGAACCCATTCTGGGTTTCTTTCGAACAATCTTCTCCATCATCTTGTGAGTGTGTGTTTTTTTGTGTGTGTGCGCGCGCGCGTGCGTGTGTGTGTGTGTCAGACAGGCAGAGGGAAAAATGAGAGCATGGCTGGGGAGACACTGACAAACGTTTCAAATTAAGACAGCATTTTCCCATCTTCCTGCATATCATATGTTCTCCTTTGCTTCTTTGTAATCTTCCCAATAATATTATCCTCTTACTAATCTTCCCTTCCACATCCATTCTTCTTTTTATCCTCTTATTACTCTAAAGGCTACCTCTTTACTGTTCTTGCCCCCTCTCTTCCCATTTCATATCTACCTCAGCTTTGGAGCACTTAAATAATCCTCACTGAATTCCATATCTAACTCATTTGCCTACTATTTATATTCACTTTCTCTTTCTCACTCTTTCTATCGATCATCTTCTCCTCACGTAAAATTAATTATCAAGCAACCTGAAGTTAATGGCACAAATGGAGAGCATGTGTAGGGCGGTATTACATTGGGCCACTTCTCATGATGGTAATGGTAGTTTCTCTCCCGCTAATGACGGTACATAATTATGCTAAGTGACAGTTTAACAGCACTGCCTTTCATACTCTGAAGCCGCATGCGATTCTTAAAGCAGATGATCACGTACGGACTTTATTTAGCCGGATAAAGGGCTGAAAGAAACATGACATAGGAATTATTTAGACCTTCTTATCCAATTTAGGATATCATCAGATATATATAATATATATAATAGCTAAAACAGCTAAATCACTCAAGTACAGGTGACTGGAAGGTCAATACCTCTTTGTTCCCATAGCGTCTGAGACGCTTGGCCCCTGGGGCAAGAGTGCCTTGGGATTTCTCAAGGAATTGGGTTCCAAGCTCATTGACGTCACCAGAGACCCAAGGGCTTCCAGTTTTTTTGTTTCAGCGTCTCAGTGTGGCGATCCAGAGGGGAAATGCTTGCTGCGTCCTCGGTTCCTGTCCAGAAGCAGAGGAGCTTCAAGAGATCCATAACCTTTAGGCATTTGTCTTGTATGTTTTGTAACCTTTAAATACACAATAAAGGAAAAAAAAAAAGGAAAGGGGTGGTAGGAGAAAAGCACACAGAAAGGGTATTGGAGGGGACCTACATTCCCTCCAATGCGTTATGTGTGGTTTCCTCCTAGGCTATGGGTCCCCCTTCTTCCAGCCAGAGGTGGTACTCCCTTCCCTATATATAAAAAAAAATATATATATATATATAACATATATATATATATATATATATATATATATATATATATATATATATATATATATATATATATACATATATATATATATATATATATATATATATATATATATATATATATATATATATATATATTTTCTAAGGAGAGTTGAAGATCATAATAGGTGAACTTGACTACTTCCTGTGGGAATTTATTTGGGAAGAACTTGCACAGATAATTCCAGAAACAGATGACGGCCGAAAAAAAACATCGCCCATGCATGTGCAAGCTTTCCTTGTGACAGTCTACAACAAGTTCCAGCAAACCTAGATTTATTTTGAAAGAATTATGAAGACCTGCAATCAGGGCCCCATGTTATATGATCAAAAAGTTACCAATGGTCCAGAAGCCGATATACGGTTGGATAAAGGGTTGGAACAAACATGAAATAGGTAGAACTTAAGAGGCATTAGATTTCAAAGTTTGTGGAAGAGAAATCCAGGTGATTGATTATATTTCATGCAAATTTCATCTTTTCTAATATAAGAAAAAAAACATTATTGTTTGAAATGTTCTATTCTCTCTTGCCTGCCAAGCTCATACTCAGAATAGAAAAATACTGTCATGAATGAGGATGTATGATATTCAAGACAAAAACCCACCTATTAAACCTAGATAGGCTTAATCAATAATATCTTTTTCATTAAATCTCTTGTGAGCTTACATTTTTGCAGTATACTTTGAATATCCTTGAGAACAACATTACGAAACCTCGTTAAAAGTCCTTTGTGATTCAGCAAGATGAAGATTTAGATGAGGACGGACCCCCACCACCTGACTTCTAATTCTGCAGTGAACCACATAAGGCTCATTTATATGTAAATATGTTTCACGAAATGTTCTCGCATACAAACTTTTATATTTAAGAGAGAGAGAGAGAGAGAGAGAGAGAGAGAGAGAGAGAGAGAGAGAGAGAGAGAGAGAGAGAGAGAGAGAGAGAGAGAGAGAGAGAGAGAGAGAGAGTAAGAGAGATATTAAGCAAAAAAGAGAGAGTAAGAGAGAGATTAAGCATGAAAGAGAGAGTAGAAAGAGGAAGAAGAGGGATAGAATGGCGCAAGAGTGACAGCAGTTTTTTTGGGCACATCTAAAGTCAAAGATATTAATTTTATGTATAATAAGGCTAATATACGAATTGTGTAATACTAATATTAATATTTTTTTATTTTCGTTTACTATAATTATTCTCATAATGACTATTCTAATTAATACTATTATTAGACTACCATAATTCTTAACTCATAAATGTTTCATTATCAAGATCGTTGCTCAGTATCATTATCAATTGT